AAAAAAAAAAAAGCAAACTGTAGGACAACTAAAAAGAAAACAGGAATTAGTCTTTAATTATTTGTTAAATTTACAAGTTGCTATATAGTATGTGATTTACACTTATTTCATCTTCACATCAAACCTATGTGAAGCAGGTAGAATTTTTCCCAGTTTATAGGTTAAAAAAGATTCAAAGAAGTTAAACATGTCTGAGCATACCATAGAACTAGGATACATACCTAAATCCATAGGAGCTTAAAGTCTAAATGCCTTCAGATATACACCTCCTGCCTCCCACATCCTCTGGGGAAGCCTGTATTAAAGGCAAAGACTTCCAGATATCTATAGCATTTTAAGCTCCTAAATCATTACCACACTGCTGAACAATTAGCTGGGATCAAAATATGAGGAATAAAGAGGGAGAGAACAGAGAGAATGGACATAGGACTGATATATTGTCAAGTAGAGGGCAATCATGTGAGGTAAAAGGAGGATAGAAAAACATCTGCACCCAACCGAACTCCAGCCTCAATGTTACCAATGGCCAAGCAAGATAGCTGGAATGGGATATATCCCATGGATAGATGAAGAAACTAAAGCACAGAAATTTAGATGTTTGAAGAGCACAAATAGGAGAAGGACTGGTCTCCAGGTGTACTGCCCAGCATTCTCTCCTCCAGCCTATGACACGTCTCCCCAGCTCCATCCTGGTCTTCTATGTGCTCCTTAGGTCTGTTAATGATGTCTCCGTTCCATGGCCCATCTCTGAGTTTTCTTATTACTACCAACCCCATAGTCACCCATTCTTCTAAATTTTATCTGCTAGATGTTTCTTGGGAGCTCTGGTGGCTCTGGTAGTGCCTCAGGTATTTGACTGCTAACCTGAAGCTGGCAGTTCAAACCCACCAGCCACTCCTCAGAAGGAAGGTTGGGCAATCTAAGAGATTACGAAGAGATACCGCCTCAGAAACCAAAGGAGGGGTCATTATGAGTCGCAATTGACTTGATGGCAATGAGTTTGGTTTTTTTGGAGATGTTTCTCAAGTTCACCCCTTCCTCTTCATCCTTACTGATACCTCCCTAATGCTTATTATAAACATCTCCCAAAGAATAATTCTCTACTGATCTCTCTGTCTTTAGTTTGTCCAACCACTCAACTGCCATCTTTTATCCATTCACTCTGTTCAAAATTCTTCTCAGCTTTCCCCCTTCCATGGGACAAAATCTAAATTCCTTAGCCCAGCATGCAAGACTACAGGCTACAGCCCTTATACTGGAACTTTAACCTTTAGCAAAGGGAATTGCTGGTCATTCTTTGAACATGATGTGCTGTTTCTTGCTCCTGCTTCCTTTGCCTGGAATGGCTGCCACTGCTTATTTACCTGAAATGCCCTTCTTCATTGTTCAGGTCTCAGGAAGGCTTCCCTGCTCTCTCTCTGCTTCCAACAGGCTTTGCACCCATTGTCTACTGTAGCATCTCTTGCACTGCATGGTCATATTTTCCAGGTCTCACTCCACACAGAAAGTCTGAGAGCTTCTTGAGGGATCAGCAGTCACTTTCAACTCTGAACCTCCAAGCCTAGCCCAGTGCCTCACCTGCAGATGGTTGACAAGTGTTTGCTGTTGAATGAAAGTGAAGAGGTGGTCCCAAAGACTGTGTCACTGAGGTCTCAACACCCAAGGAATACAACCAAATTGAGATTTCTTGGAAAATATCAGAAAGTAGGGGTGGAGATTCAGTGGCCATGAAGTCTAAATTAAATTGAGTAAACGCAGCAAAAGATATTGAGACCTAGAAGATTTCAGAACTAAGCCAGGAAAGAAGAGAAAGTTTGGGCAGGTAGGGGCAAGTAGCAGAGAGCAGGGAACACCAGGAGAGACCAGGAATAAGCAGGACAATCTGAAGGTAAATGTTCCCTGTTGTCTAACAGCAGGACTTACTATTCTTTGCTTGAATGTGCCTTTACACAAGTTTTGTATTTGAGTAGTAATTTACATGAAAGAATTTACCAGTGTCTGGAGAAATGTTAACTTACACTTTTTCTTTTTTTCAAAATAGCTTTCTAGATTCATGTTTGAGGGACGGGAAATAAAGCTGATTATGACTTGTGCAGCCTTCATCACAATGAATCCTGGATATGCAGGAAGAACTGAACTGCCAGATAATCTCAAAGCTTTGTTCAGACCATTTGCAATGATGGTTCCGAATTATGCTTTGATTGCAGAGGTATGTGTCCCATTATAAAGCAGAAAAAATTTAAGCTTATTTATTTAATTTACCTTTGATTCTATTGAGGTAGGAAGTTTCCTTTTTGAATACATCCTAGTTAAAGTTTCGCATTATTACTTATATTTAAAAGTAGGAGCTCTGGTAGCATAGTGCCTAAGGCACTTGACTGCTAACCAGAAGGCTGGCGGTTCAAACCCACTAGCCACTCCTCAGAAGTAAAGTTGGGCAATCTACTTCCGTAGTGATACTGCCTCGGAAACCCAAGGAGGAGCCACTATGAGTTGGGCTGACTGACAGTACATAACAGCATGATTGTTATCATAGAAATGTTTTGGTCTGTATTTAGTTTTTGTTGTTTTGTTTGTTTGTTTTTCTTTACTACTATATCACTAATCCACCCCAAGTCTATCAGTTTGCCATACTGTGATGGCTTGTGTGTTGCTGAGATGCTGGGAGCTATGCCACTAGTACTTCAAATACCTGAAGGATCACCCACAGTGGACAGGCTTCATCAGAACTTCCAGACTAAGACAGACTAGGAAGAAGGACCTGGTAATATATTTCTTTAAAAAAAAAAAAATTGGCCAGTGAAAACCTTATGAATAGCAGTGGGACATTGTTTGACATAGTGCCAGAAGATGAGCTCCTCAGATTAGAAGGCACTAAATTTATGACTGAGGAGGGGCTGCTTCCTCAAAGTAGAGTTGACCTAAATAATGTGGATGGAATAGAGCTTTTGGGACCTTCATTTGCTAATGTGGCATGACTTAAAGTGAGAAGAAACAGCTGAAAACATGCATTAATAATCAGAATGTGGAATGTACAAAGTATGAATCTAGGAAAATTGAAAATCCTCAAAAATTAAATGAAATGCATAAAGATCAATATCCTAAGCACTACTGAGCTTAAATGGACTGGTTATTGGCCAGTTTGAATAGGACAGTCATATGGTCTACTATGCCAAGAATAACAAATTGAAGAGGAATGGTGTCACCTTCATAATAAAATAGAACGTTTCCAGATTTATCCTGAGGAGGAGAATCTAAGATGACTGACTAGGCAGATATACTATCCAGACTCTCTGCAACAAAGACTTGAGAAAACAAGTGAAATTGATGCAAATGACAGTCTTGGAATCCAGACCTGCAAAGAAAAGGATAAAGATGTGGATCAAATGCTGATTTGAGGAAGAGATTGAATGAAACAGCAAACAAGGTGGCATACAGAGTGATGAACTGCCAACCAGCAACGAATGGTCATTTAAGTTATTGCAAGCAGTGTTCTGATTGAGGCAAGAATCAGGTAACCAGCTCTGCTCACCCAGGACTGCACTTGCACCCACGTTGATGAATAGCAGCCAGAGAGGTGTGATCTCCACCCTTACATTGCACAACTCCACAGTGACCAGAGCTGTAGTCCCCCACCCCCACTCATCTGGTGGCCAGTCAACCCCATCCCCCACTGCCAGTGCTGTGCCACTCTTTTTTTTCTTTTCCATTCTTGTTTTCTTTATCTTTCATTATAGGTCTTCCTGCTCCCTCTGCCTTGTTATTTTTACTTTTCATTTCTTCTTTCTCTTCCTTCCTCCACTTTTTAAAACACAGGGAGCAAGTGGGAAGAGAGCTGTTATGCTGCAGAGAATTGGTGACGTAGTGCCTAAGGCATTTGACTGCTAACCAGAAAGCTGGCAGTTCACACCCACCAGGCACTCTTCAGAAGGAAGATTGGGCAATCTACTTCCATAGAGATACTGCCTCAGAAACCCAAGGAGAGGTCACTATGAGTTGAATTGATTCAACACCAGTGAGTTTGGTTTTTTATGGTTTTTATTCAATATTGTACTGGAAGTCCTAGCCAGAGCAGTAAGTCAAGAAACAGAAATAAAAGGCATCCAAATTGGCAAAGAAGAAAAAAAACTTTATCTATTTCCAGTTAATAGAAAATCCCAGAGACTTAACAAGAAAACTACTGGAACTAATAGAGGGATTCAGCAAATTGGCAGGGTATGATGTGAACATAAAATCAATTGGATTTCTCTACATTAACAAAGAGAACTCTGAAAAGGAAATCAGGAAAACAGTATCATTTATAGTAAGTGGAAGAATATACCATGTACATGGATAGGAAGAATTAACATTGTGAAGATTTCAATACTACCGAAAGTGATCTTTAGATATAATGCAACCCTGTTCCAGATTCCATCATCATTCTTTACAGAGGTGGAGAAACTAATCATCAACTTTATATGGAAAAGATAGGGAACCCAGATAAGGAAAGCATTACTAAAGAAGAAGAAAAAGTAGGAGACCTCACACTCTCTTATCTCAAAATCTATCATACAGCCATGATAGTCAAAACTGCCTGATATTCAAACATTGAAATATGGATGGATAGATGGGTGGACAGGCTGAACTATTAAGTATGTCCATGCATGGGGTAGTGTGTTCAAGACCATGTATAGGGTTGGCACACAATGTTTCTACAAGTGCATTTCTATGTTCTGCAAGAATTCCCAGGTGTGTAGTAGAGCTGACAAGGAGCAAGGTTATAGTAACGTGTTGACCACAGCCAGCTACCCAGAGGGAGTCAGTAGTTGGACCTGTGAGCTCGAGACCATAGCCTCAGGGGACATCAAGCGCAATTGGCATAACATACTACACAAAAACATTATTCCACATCCTACTTTGGCAAGTAGTGATTGGAATCTTAAAAGCTTGCAAGTGGTCATCTAGATGCAACGATGGGTCTTTCCTCATCCATGGCAAAGAAGAATGAAGAAAACTAAAGACATGTGGAAACAATTAGTCCAAGCAACTGGTACACAATGTAATCCTCAGCCTATACGACTATGAGACTGGAAGAACTAGATGGTGCCCGGCTACCACTGTCAACCACTCGAAGGGGGATCTATGTAAGAGATCCTGAATAGAGTGAGAGAATAATATGGAACAAAACTCAAAATCATTAAAAAAAAGAGAGAGAGAGAGAGAGAACAGGTTTGCTGGTCTGTCTGATAGAGCCTGATGGAGGCACTGAGACTATGGCGCCTACTTGCCCTTTAGGTCTGGAATTGAACCCATTCCTATGGCTTCCAGACAAACAAAAGACAGGCATATGAGCTGAACATTTACAATAGGTAGATATACTCCTTGGAGAGATCAATCATGGGAGAATAGAAGAGTTGTGTATGTACAGGCAGACAGCTTGAGGGGAGGGGAGGCAGGAGTGCATGGGAAGGAAGGACACAGGGAGGAGGTAACTATGGGGAGGAAGTCGGAGAGGAGGTGTTGCATTGTGGGAAATTGTAGTCAATTTCATGGGACAAAGTATATGTGAGGTGTTGTATGGAAAGTGAATTTTCTCTATAAACTTTCACCCAAATCACAATAAAAATTAAAAAAAAAAAAAAAAAAAAACCTGCCTGGAATAACAAACTCATAGATCAGTGGAACAAAATTCAGAACCCAAAAGTAAATTCAATCACCTATGGACAACTGATCTTTGACAAATCACTAAAATTCAATACATGGGGAAGATATAGTCTCCTTAACAAATAGTGCTGGTAAAACTGGATATCCATTTGCAGAAAAATGAAACAACATCCATATTTTTTCACCAGATCCAAGAACTAACTCAAGATAGATCAAACAGCTAAATGTAAAACCTAAAACTATAAAGATCATCAAAGAAAAAAATAGGGCAAGATGTAAGGACCCTAATCCGTGACATGAATACCCTATTAAACATAACTAAAAATGCACAAGCAGTAGAAGACGAACTAGACAATGGGACATCCTAAAAATTCAACATGTATGCACATCAAAAGATTTCACTGAAAGACTGAAAAGAGAACCTACAGAATAGGGAGAAAAAAATGGCAATGATTTATCAGACAAGGGACTAATTTCTAAAATTTATAGATAGTTTCACAACCTCAACAACAAAAGGACAAAAGATCCAGTTAAAAAAATCAGCAGAAGGCAATAAGAGACACTTCACCCAAAAGACATTTAGGCGAACAACAAATGCATGAAGAAATGCTAGCGATCATTAGCCATTGGAGAGATACAATTCTAAACAATGAGATACCATTTCACCCAGCATAAATAGCAAAGTTCAAAAAAATAAAACGAGAAAACTACAAATGGGCGTGGAGAGACTAGAACCCTCATATACAGCTGGTGGGACTGTAAAATTGTGCAACCACAAAGAAAAATGGTATGGCACTTCCTTAAAAAATTCTACATAGAAATACAATATGATCCAGCAATCCCAATACTATGGATAAATCCTAGAGAAATAAGCCATTACACAAACTGATATGTGCACACCCATTTCATCACAGCATTATTCCCAATAGCAAAAAGAGGGAAACATCCTAAGTGCCCACTGACAGATGAATGGATAAACAAGCTATGGTACATACACAAAATGCAATAGCACACAACATTAAAGAATAGGAATGAATCTGTGAAGCACCTCATGATGTGGATGATCCTAGAGAACATTATGCTGAGTGAAATTGGTCAATCACAAAGGAGAAGTATTATATGAGACTACTACTGTAAAAAGTCAAGAGAAGGTTTACACACAGGAAGAGGCATTCTTTGAAGGTTACCAGGAGTGGGGAAGGAAAGGAGAGTAAATCACTAACTAAATGATGGACCCATATTAACTTGGGTGAAGAAAAAGGCAATATGCAAGAAGGGGAAGGGCAGCACAAAATGTTTAAGGCAGCAGAAGATACTGGGAGGACCATAAGAGTTAAAGGCAACAAGGGTAAAAATTGTGTATTACATACACAATCCTGCAATAACTATTATTAATAACTATTATTTATTATTATTAACAATAATCTACAAATGTTGTTGTTGTTGTTATGTGCCATCAAGTTGGATCCGACTCATAGTGACCCCTCCTTGGGTTTCCAAAGCAGTATCACTACGGAAGTAGATTGCCCCATCTTCCTTCCGAGGAGTGGCTGGTGGGTTGAACCACCAGCCTTTTGGTTAGCAGTAAAGTGCCTTAGGCACTATGCTACCAGAGCTTCTACAATCTACAAATGGATACATAGATAGACATGCAAGCTGAACAAGGGTGGGGAGGTGAATGGGGCTATACCAATGAATATATATATAGGTTGGACAGATGATATTTCTACATATGTATTTATATGTGCTGCAAATATATTCATGAATATAGTAGAACATACAGGGGACAAATTTATGAAAACTTCTTAGCCGTAAGCAAACATCTTGAGGGAATGAGTCATTGGGTTTAGGGGCTCAAGATGACAGTTTCAAGGGACATCATTAATCAAGGTTGTCATAACATAGGCAACAAAGATAATGCTCTACATCCTACTTTGTTGAGTAGCGACTGGGGTCTTAAAAGTTTATGAGTGGCCATCTAAGGTGCAACTATTGGTCCCGCCCTGTCCAAAGCAAAGAAGAGTGAAGAAAATCAAAGACAATGAAATAATTAGTCCAAAGGACTAATGGACCACATGAACCCCAGCATCCATGACCGTAAGACCAGAAGAACTAGATGGTGCCCAGTTATTACTGCTGACCACTGTGAAAGGGATCACAAGAGGTCCTGGATAGAATGGAAGGAAAATGTGGAACAAAATTCAAAATCATAAGTTAAAAAAAAAAAAAAGACCAGGCTTACTAGTCTGATAGAGATTGGTGGAATATCTGAAAGTATGATCCTTAGACACACTAAGCCTGGAACTGAACTCACCCCATGGCTCAACTTTCAGTGAAACAATAGACAGACATACAAGGTAAACAATAACACCAGGGAGGTGCACACTTCTTAGGACAATCAACCATATGAGTTCAAAAGGATAAAGTTTGCCCAGGGATAAAGCTCAGAAGGCAGGAAGAGATAGGAAGGGAGGACGAAAGGAAATGGTAAACACTGGGAGGAAGTGGGAATGGTGCTGTTACATTGTGGGGATTGCCATCAATGCCATAAAACAACATGTGTATGAATTGTTGAATGGGAAACCAATTTGCTCTGTAAACTTTGATACAAGTCAAAATAAATAGTTATAATTTTTTTTCTGAATGTTTAGAAAAGTGAAAAGTTCATATGTGAGGGCAAACCACAAAAATTTATAATCACATTTGGACTGTAAAAAGAGCACTTAGGATAAAATGTGTTAGAAATCTTCCTGAAGTATAACACTATCAGTGATAGGATAAGATCTATACAACTACAAGGAAGATAAGTTAATGCAACTATTATTTAAATTTACCCACCAACTACTAATGCCAAAGAAGAAGAAATTGAAGATTTTACCAATTTCTCCAGTCTGAAAAGTCTGAAAGTCATCAAACATGCAATTAAGTGCATTGATTAACTATTGGTGATTGGAATGCAAAAGTTGGAAAAATAATGGCCTGGGTGATAGAAACAAAGCCAGAGATATCATGATAGAATTTTGCAAGCCCAATGTCCTATTCATTGGAAATACCTTGCTTTAACAACATAAACAGCAACTGTATATAGACACTGCTACTTGGAATACACAGGAATCAAGTCAACTATATCTATGAAAAGAGATGATGGAGAATCTGAATGTCATCAGTCAGAACAAGGCCAGGGGCTGACTGCAGAACAGAACTATCAAGTGGTGGTCCTATGCAAGTTCAACTTGAAATTGAAGAAAACTAAAACCAGGAATTGATGGAATATCAATTAAGATGTTTTTACAAATAGATGCAGTGCTGGCAGCACTCACTTTTCTATGCTTAGAAATTTGGATGGCACTATCTGATCAACCTACACTAAGAGATCCATATTTGTGCTCATTCCAAAGAAAGGTGATACAAAAAAAAAAAAAAATGTGGAAACCATGTAAGTAAAATCTTACTGAAGATAATTCAGAACAGTTGCACCAGTACATTGACAAGGAACCACCAGAAATTCAAGCTGGATTCAGAAGATGTAGAATGATGTATATCATTGCTGATGTCAGGTGGATCTTGGCAGAAAGCAGAGAATATACAAAAAATGTTTACCTGTGTTTTATTAACTATGGAAGGACATGCAACTGGGTGAATCAGAACAAATTGTGGATAACATTGTAAAGAATGAGAATTCTAGAACTTAAGTGTGCTCATGAGAAACCTGTACATAGAACAAGAGGCAGTCATTTGAACAGAACAAAGGAATACTGCATGGTTTCAAATCAGGAAGATGTGTGTCAGCGTAGTATCTTTTCAAAACACTTATTCTTTATGTGTGCTGAGAAAATAATCTGAGAAGCTGGACTGCATGAAGGAGAACATGGTATCAGGATAGCAAGAAGTTTCGTTAACAGCCTGTAATAATTATTATTCTTGTGAAATTCTTTGTGATCTCTGCCATCAATTCTATCACAAAGGCCATATCTTTCCAACTACTGATACTTTTGGGTAAGAAGAAAACCTGGTTTAGAGCCCAGTCCACTGTTTTTCTCATATCCCATTCTGTGACTTACTGATATATTACTCAGGTATTAATTCAAAAACCAAACTCACTGTCATTGAGTCAGTCTGGACTCATAATGACCCCTCCTTGGGTTTCCGAGGCAGTATCACTACAGAAGTAGATTGCCCAACCTTCCTTCCAAAGAGTGACTGGTGGGTTTGAACTGCCACCCTTCTGGTTAGCAGTCAAATGCCTTAGGCACTAGGCCACCAGAGCTCCTCAGGAATTAATTGGAGGAATTCAAAAGTCCAGTCTTCTAAGGGCTACTTCTAGGGTTAATTACAGGTTAAATGAATCAGGGCTGTCATCAGTAAATATTTTTAATCATCTACTGTGTGCACAGTGTTATGCTAATGAGCAGTGATAGAGCAGTTAACAAAACAGACATCTTTAAGAAGTCTGTGTCATTTGAAATCCTGCTCTGAGGCCAACTGCAGTGTTTCTGGTAGATTATAATTGAGGGAGCACTTGACTGCTAACCAGAGGGCTGGCGGTTCAAACCCACCAGCTACTCCTCAGAAGGAAGATGGGGCAATCTACTTCCATAGTGATACTGCCTCGGAAACCCAAGGAGGGGTCGCTAGGAGTCGGGTCCGACTCAACAGCACATAATAACAACATAATTGAGGGAAGAGTCCATGTTCACCTCCACTGTCAAAGATATTGTGCAGCCTCTAATTTACTTAACAAAGAATGCATAAACTTGTCAGGAGCAAAGTAGCCTCTTAGAGCAGGGAACATTAAAAAACAAAACAAACTTATTGCCATCGAGCCAATTCTGAGTAGTGGCAACCCCAAGTGTTAGAGCAGAACTGCTGCATAGAGTTTTCTTGGCTATAATCTTAACAGAAGCAGATCAGCAGGGCTTTCTTCTGTGGCACTGCTGGGTAGGTTTTAACCACTGACTTTTAGATTAGTTTTGTTGTTGTTATATACAATTCCTTGGGTTTCTGAGGCAGTGTTACTACAGAAGTAGATTGCCCAACCTTCCTTCCGAGGAGTGGCTGGTGGGTTTGAACCACCAGCCTTCTGGTTAGCAGTCAAGTGTCTCAAGCATAAATCATGTGCACCATCCAGAGAGACCTTATAGGGCATAGAAGAGACTGTGGATCATTGCACAGCTTCCTTTGACTCTACAGAAGTTAAAGAGAACATATTGTTACTACTGATACTGCCCATCAATGTGGTGTTCTTGTCAGATTGTTGTTGTTGTTAGGTGCCATTGAGTCAGCTCCGACTCATAGTGACCCTGTGTATGACAGAACAAAGCACTGGCACCAGCCTCACAATCCTTGCTATGCCTGAGCCCATTGTTGCAGCCACTGTGTCAGTTCATTTCATAAAGGATGTTCCCCTTTTTCTCTGACCCTCCTCTTGTCAGATTATTGTTGCTGTTGTTTTGTGCTGTCAAGTCCTACCCAACTCATAGAGACCACTCCTTGGGATTCTGAGGTGGTATCACTACGGAAGTAGATTGCCCAATCTTCCTTCTGATGAGTGGCTGGTGGGTTTGAACCACCAGCCTTCTGGTTAGCACTCAAGTGCCTTAGGCACTATGCTGCCAGAGCTCCTTGTAGATTAGAGAAGTTAAATTCTTGCTACAACATTATCCTCTTGTAGTCGGGCCTGATAACACCATATCATCTCCGTGATGTGAACATTTTCAGACATTGGACACTGCTGCTCCTTAAATCATATGTCACCAAAGCCTTTCAAGAGAAAGAAAGCAGAATCAGTGCCCAGGTGTCCCCATACCATATCCCACCTTCTCCCTTCCAGTGGCCCAGAAAACCGTATGCCATTCAATCTTTGTATTTACGTTCTTTTCTTAAATGATGTAACAACTAGAGGTACAATGCCTAGAGTTTGAATATGCTAATATTATGCTAATATTTTAGACTATCAATATAATAAATATTACACTATACTTTCTTATTCTAGGTAATTCTGTATTCTGAAGGATTTGAGTCCAGTAAAATACTGGCAAGAAAGATGACTCAGATGTATAAACTTTGCAGTGAGCAGCTCTCTCAGCAGGATCACTATGACTTTGGCATGAGAGCTGTGAAGTCTGTATTGGTCATGGCTGGGTAAGAAACCAAAGTGGTAAAATGTGAAATACCAAATCATGTAATCAATTAATTAAGTGGGAAATTTTCAGAATATTTTTAGAACAATGTCTGGTATACAGTAAGTGATTCTACTCTTGGCATCATTTTTGCCTTTGGATTCCCACACACAGTGAGTTGTGGCATCTTTTCTCATCCTACCAGAGTTCTCCACTGTGAGACCCAACATGGTTACCCTCAGACTGAACCTGAGTCCCAGCTAGACTTTGACTAACTTTCTTGTCCCTAAGAGCTCATCATATACATTGGGTTCAAGTATACATAAGCCTTTACTACAATAGAAGAGGATGGCTAAACTTAAAAAGTACAGTTTGTTATTCACATTCAATAAGGTAAATCGCATATGTTGCCCAATGTAGCCTTGAGCGTTAAGAGAAACTTCAGTTAATCATTCCATCTTCAGTTCAGACTTATGTCATGGGCTTTATCTCTCTTTTTACAGAATGGTCCAAAACCAAACTTCTTTTTAGTTTCTGTTTCAGCCAGAGTCTTTCCTGTTTCACACCCTGACTTTTCTCTTTATATCTTCCTTAAAGTACTACCTCTTGATCTTCAACTTGTCCAGAGTCCCTGAGAGCATCTAATTTCTCTCTAGTCCTTCCTTTCATTTTCATTGTCTCTGTTTCTGCACATAGAGAGGCCCTTCTGTCTAGTCCTGTAATCACTGGGCTTTGCAAAAATCTTCCCCTTCTTTACTCTCTGTTCTTTTTTGTAAATATCTCAAATTAAGTATTTTTCCTTTTTATAGGCTTGTCATTTAAGGCATACTAAGGGATTTGGACATATTTCTCCTCAAAGAATAGAAGTACAGACCAGTGAGAGCACTCATGTAGAATATTTTGTGCTGAGGTCATCAATAGGGCTGTGCCTGAGGTCCTCTGAGAACGGGAGCAGAGGAGATTTCTAGAGGTGGGAGTAACTGGACTGGGCTTTGAAGGGAAAATAAGAGTTAACCGGCAAAGGAGCAAGGCAGAGCATCTTGGACAGAGGGAAAAGAAAGTCACAAGCATATGAAACATCATGATGGATGCAGGGAATTGTAAATTCAGATTGGGAAAAGTCTGAATTAATTAGAGTGTGGGGTAGGGGAGTGTTAAAAAGATACCCTTGTTATTCAACTCAGGGCTATGTTCCACGAGGAGTCTGTAGGTGGCCCTCCACAGCTATCTGCACACAGAATCCCTGACCCACAGGTTTGGAAAATTGTGTTTAATCATGTTTTCTCTTAATTTCATCTGAAATATTCCTTTGAATTTAGGTCTTTAAAAAGAGAGAACCCAAACCTAAGTGAAGATGTAGTATTGATAAGAGCTTTACGAGATTCCAACTTGCCAAAATTCCTTACAGATGATGCTGTTCTGTTCAGGTAATTTTCTAGACATTTCACAATAAAGCATAGCTACTACATGGATATAAAGGATAGTCTCATGCTCAATTATTTCCATCTCTAACATGCTAATAACTTTTTAATCTTTTCTAGATAATACATATTACAGTTTGGGAAAATATTAACTTAAAATAAATATACTAAAATTTTAACATTTGTTCATTTACTTTTTTCAAAATATGAATCACCAGGTTGTGTGCTATACAAATTAGTGTTTGGTGACAAGCTCCTGACCTAAGAGAAACTCATAATTTTGAAAAAAAATGGACTTGAGAATTAACATAAATATGATTCCTTTTATATCTTCTTTTATTATATTTATTCAAGTTATACACGTACATACCTTTAAAAATGAGAGTTTTACCAAAAAAAAAAAAAGGCCCTGCCTTGAGTCAACACTTTTATTATTATTATTTTTATTGTGCTTAGGGTGCACATTTACAAAGCAGATTTGTTTTACATTCAACAGTTCACATACATCTGATTTCCCGTTTACCTTCCCCAACCATAAAACTCTTCTCCCCACTCCTTCCTGTGACTATCCCCTCCCTGTCCCCTTCTTACCTATGCATTCCTGTCTGTCCAGCTTTCCCTCTGTGTGAATGCTGCCTCTCTGATGTCTCATGGCTGATTGATCTAAGGAGTGCATCTCCCTAGAGTAGGTGGGTACATCACCCTGGGGTAGGTATTCTGCATGTAGGTCTTTCTCCATGTGAGTCCATTTCCAGACTTGAGGGGTAACCTGGGGCCATATCTCAGGGGTTCCATCAGTCTCTATCTAGCCAGTAATTCTTGTGTTTTTGAATTATATTCCACATTTTTCCTCCCACTCTATCCATGATTTCCAGTTATTATCCTTTTCCAAGTGGTTGGCATTGGTAGCCAGGCACCATCTAGTTTTTCTGGTCTTAGTGTTATGAAAGTTAAGGTCCTCATGGTCCATCTTATCTTTGGACTAATTGTTTCCAGATGACCTTGATGTTCTTCACTCTTCTCTGGCCCAGATGATAGGAGACAAATAGTTGCATCTTAGATGGCCACTCAAAAGCTTTTAAGATCCTAGTCACTACTCACCAAAGTAGGATGCAGAACAAGATTTTTATGAACTATGTTGTGCCAGTTGAGCATGGTGTCCCTAGAGACTATGGTCCCGAGCCCACAGGCCTGGTCATTCTCTGTTGCCTTGAGTCAACTCTTGATTCATGGTGATCCATTCAGCTTCCATTGACTGTAATCTTACAGAAGTAGATCACCAGGCCTTTCTTCTGAGGTGCCAGTGGGTAAGTTCAAACCACCAACCTTTTGATTAGTACCCAAGCACAAATTGTTTGTACCACCCAGAGACTCCTAAGATATTGTTGAGGCCTCTACCCAATAAAGGGAGCAGGGGGTTCATCATCTATGTAATGCTTTGTTTTCAGGATGGTATTCTTACCCATGACTATACCTGATATCCTCCAGGTTAGGACAGTTGCTCAGCTTTGTGGGATAGTAAGCAGATCTGAAGGTCTAATAGCGTCATAAGCAGACTTTCAGCCAATCCTCCTGTTCTCAACTCCACAGCCAAGCCTAATTTCATAGACACATAGTGCTCCCCATTCCTGTGCCTTTCTCAAGTCTAATTTTTCCCCCCACTGCCAGCTTAGGTTTCCATTCTATGCTATATTCGTTCTCAGATTTCCCAGATACATCAATTCTTCTACAAAATGCATTAATATATTGATGTACTGATATACTGCATGGGTTGTTTATTTGAGGATGTGATTTAAATTCAGACATCTTGATTAGGCCTTGGGCTGTTTCTAAGGATAGATTAACCACCATTTGTCCTGTGTACCAAGAAGAGTAATGTGTGATAGGTTGCCTTACAGGGATGGCCATCCACAAAGTGTCTAGGTGCAGGATGGCTTAAAAAAGAGCATCTATGCTCTTTTCTGAGACAGAGGAGAGTGAAGCTTCTGGCGACAGAGCCACCACAGCTGAGCTGCTGGTACCTCTGTGCTGGCTGGCTGCTGGGACGTCTGAAGTCCCTTTTGCTTTCTAGAATGCAAGACACTTTGTGTTCCAATGACTTTACTCAAACTGGTTTTCCCACTGGAATGCCTTCTCTTGCCTTGCTTTCTGCATACTTTCCTTCCATCTTTCAGCCTAGAAATTGTTTATGTCTAGAAATTATTTTCCCAGGAGACAATAAATATTCAATTTTATTTTCTCCTCTTCTTTGGTGGTTTACTTTATATATAACTCTAGTTGTAATTTATTTTGTAATATAATTAATAGGGTAATAAAAGGTGATACCTCATGTGGGCCAATGATCTGTCCATCTCTTTTGTTTAATGACACTTTCTATATCACCGATTAAGTTTATACACACACACACACATGCAAATCTTCCTTTAGGGATAGCTCCTCTCTCTCCTGTCAAGCACCACAAGATCTTAATTCATGTCAAGGGTTATATTTTCATATTGCAGTTTTCTCTAATTTGCTAAGAGACTATTCCCCCATCTCCTTTTCATCTTTGAAAAATCTGTTGAAATTTCTCACCTACTTTGTCTCTCCTTTTGTTATTTGTCCTTGTATGGAATAGTTTATTCATTTTCATTTCCTTGTTTTCATTTAACCAAGTTAAAATTTTAGTTATCCCTATTCATTTCCTGGGGCTGCCATAACAGTGTACCACAAACTGGTGGCTTAAAACAACAGAAGAATACTGCCTCATACTTCTGGAGACTAAAAGTCTGCAATCAAGGTGTCAGTGGGACTCTGCCTTCTCTAACAGCTGTAAGGGAGGATCCTTTCTTGCTTCTTCATGAATTCTGGTGACTCCTGGCAATTCGTGGCTTTCCTTGGCTTGAAGATTCATCACTTCATTATCTGCCTCCATCTTCACATGGCTGTCTTCCCTCTATGTTTGTGTTTCTTCTCTTTTTATAAGGACACCATTCATATTGGACTCAATCATGGCCATTGAGTTGGATCTGACTCATAGCGACCCCTCCTTGGGTTTCCTAGGTGGTATCACTACGGAAGTAGATTGCCCCATCTTCCTTCTGAGGAGTGGCTGGTGGGTTTGAACTGCCAGCCTTCTGGTTAACAGTCAAATGCCTTAGGCACTACGCCACTAGAACCCACCTAATCCTATGATCTCATGTTAATTTAACTGATACCACCTTCAAATACTCTATTTCCAAATAATTTCACAGGTACTGGGAGTTAGGACTTCAGTATATCTGAGGGACAACAATTTAATTCATAGTAGTATCTTATTGCATGACTATTGTAACAAACTCAATTAATATAGATGTATAGGGAATCAAAAATGAAAGACATCTCTGCCAGCCCCACTGCTACTTTCAACAATCATATTCTACCCAAGTGTTTTACTTAATATTTTTTCATTGGTTGGATAAATAAATGGTTAGATATATGGTTATGCTTTTTTATTATTATTTGTTATAATTATGATATAATTATAAATTCATATGTGGTTATAAAATATAATCCAGAGAAATCCCTTTACTAAATTTCCTTCAGTGATACCATCTTGCAAAAAAACTAAACTACATCATAATCAGGATATTGCCATTTATACAGTCAAGATTCAGAATATTTCTATCAACAAAGGGATCCCTCATACTGCCCTTTGATAGCTGCACCCAGTTCCTTCCTGCCCTCAACCTCTCCTTAATCCTTGACAACCATTAATCTGTTCTCCATTTCTAGAATTTTGTTGCTTCATGAATGTTATATACAGTAAAACCTGTGAAAGCTAGAACCTGTGTAAGGTGGCAACCTGCCGGAGAATGAAAGCTCAAACATTTTTCACTAATAGAAAGGTGGTAAATTTGTACTTTGTAAAAAGCAGAAAACTTGTGAGACCTAGATTAATAAGGCAGTCCCATCAACTTCTGGCTCTCAGAGGTTTCACTGAAAATGGAATCATACAGCATGCAATCTTTTGAGACTGGCTGTTTTCACTCAGCATAACTCTGGAGATTCACTCAGGCTGTTGCATGTATCAATAATTTGTTTTTCTTTATTGCTGAGTAGTATTCCATGATAGAGATGTACCATAGTTTGTTTAACCATTATCCATTGAAGGATATCTGGCTTGTTATCAGTTTGGAGCTATTACAAGTAAAATAGCTGTAAACATCTATGTATAAGTTTTTATGTAAATATACATTTTTATTTCTCTGGGATAAATGCCCAGAAGTACAATCACTAGGTCATATAATAGTTGCATGTTTACTTTTTAAGAAACTGCCTGTTTTCTAGAGTGGTTTTACTGTTTTGCATTTCCACAAACAATGTATAACTGATCCTGTTTCTCTGCATCCTGTCAGCATTTGTTGTTGTCACTATTTTTTAATTTAGCCATTCTGATAAGTGTGTGGTAATACTTCATTGTGGCATGTTTAATACTATGCCACACACCGTGGATATTACAGAAACATAAAAGATATCACGTACTCCCAAGAAGCCCTTTATATACTTAGAAACTTTGGTCTAGCATACAGAAAGCAAACAAAATCATACAAGTTATCAGAGAAGTGTCCTACTATGTGTAGGACAGATTAATATGGTATGTGTTCTATAGAAAAGCAGATCAGTGATGAAAAATAAGGCTCATTATAACTTTTAATCAATTCATTTCACCAAATGTGGAGAAATACTAGTGACCAGTGGTTCCTAATTGATTTTATTTTTGTTTTGTCAGTGGAATCATATCAGACCTTTTTCCTGGAGTCCAAATTCCGGAGCATGATTATGGTATTTTGCAGTCAACAATCATAGATGTCATGACTAGACAAAATCTTCAACCTGAGATATGTATGGTTAAAAAAGTGATACAGTTCTATGAAACAATGTTAGTAAGACATGGCGTTATGCTAGTCGGACCAACAGGAGGTGGTAAGACCACAGTTTACCAAATACTAGCAGAAACCTTAGGGAATTTGCAAAAACTTGGTATAGACAATCCCTTTTACCAACCAGTTAAAACGTATGTTCTTAATCCTAAATCAATTACAATGGGTGAATTATATGGGGAAGTTAATTCCGTAACCTTGGAATGGAAAGATGGTTTGATGGCACTAAGTGTCCGAGCAGCTGTGAATGATACTTCAGAAGACCATAAATGGATCATCAGTGATGGACCAGTTGATGCTCTTTGGATTGAAAATATGAATACAGTGTTGGATGATAACAAGATGCTTTGCCTTGCTAACAGTGAGAGAATTAAACTCACACCTCAAATCCACATGCTTTTTGAGGTAAATGTATGCCTTACTGTGGAGTGAAATCAACTGTTAGAGTAGCATACCATCATTAAATTGTTTTTCTCACACTAATATATCATGTACTATCTATAATACCTACTATGATGTCTTGTTTATCTACACCGGTGACTTTGCATTTTCTAAGTGTAAATAAATTTTCATGCTTAATATGAATAAATTTGTTCACTATAGTCTGAACATTTGATGAAGGGATTAAAAGTGGGATATGGATTAAATACAGCTACAAAGTATTATGGAAGTTACCACCCCTTCTCTATTCATTCATCAAATACTGATTGAATGTCTACTGTGTGCTAGGTGTTAGTCTAGGTGTTGGAATACAAGAATATATAGGAAATAAGAGAAAAACAAAAAAGGAACACCTATCACGTCCCAGAAGAATTTGACAGTATCCTTCTGTACTCACGTGTACTTTTCACCTTATTCCACAATTCCCCATCCCTCTCCATTCATGATTATTTTTAGCTGTCCCACTCTTTTCTACATCGAGCCTTTCAATGTTAGCTTAAACTTTACAATTATGATTTATTAATACTAGAATAAGGAAGAATCATATGTGTTAGTTTCTGTTCAACCTCCCTCAATTTTAGGTGCAAGATCTTAAGGTTGCTTCCCCTGCAACAGTCAGTCGATGTGGAATGGTGTTTGTTGATCCTGAAGAACTGAAATGGATGCCATATGTTCAAACTTGGATGAAGAGTATTTCTAAAAGAGTAAGTGCAACCAGATACCTCCTGGTCTTTCTCCTTCAGGGCTTATACTGCCCTCAGGTGCCCAAACAGCAATAAGTTAAGGCCTCCTTCTGCTTGATTGTGGGAATTCCAGGGTGTGACCTAATTCCTCTCCCTAACTCACTGCCATGGAGTAGAATCCAACTCACAGTGACCCGTCCTTGGGTTTCTGAGGCAGTATCTCCACATAAGTGGATTGCCTAGTCTTCCTTCCAAGGAGTGGCTGGTGGGTTTGAACCACCAGCCTTCTAGTTAGCAGTCAAATGCCTTAGGCACTACAGGAATTCCCAAGTTTGGCCTCATATTTGTTATCTCAGCCTACCAGTCTAACTCACTCTTGTTCCTGCCTACTCGTGCCTGGATTCTCACCACACTTGTTCCTCTGAGGTACAAACAAAGCCACTTCCTGAGTTCTTCAAAACACAGATAAAAATAACCTGGGGCATTAAAAGACTTGGCAGAAGACTCCAGATAATGAAGAAAATGAAAATGTAAATCGAGACACTGGCTGTCATTGTTAATAGATTTTAGGAGTGCCTAAGGCATTTGACTCAAGCCCATCAGCCACTCATGAGAAGGAAGGTTGGGCAATCTACTTCTGTATTGATACCGCCTCCGAAACCCAAGGAGGGGTCGCTATGAATCGGGTTTGACTCAACAGCAGTGAGTAACAGAGGCTCTATGAACCAGAAAAAGAAGAAAACCAGTTTACCTCCTACCCCGATTTAGATCCAGGAACCAAGACACATTCCAACTTCAGAGGTACAATTCCAATTACTTAGAATAACAGAGCTCCATATTATCTTCTGTACTCTCTCCATTCTAAAATTAGGATTTTGGCTTTATTTATCTCAGCTTAATAAGTGGTCCATCGAACTATTTCTTCCCATTCCACCCCAGTCCAAGAACACTATCTTCTTCCCTGCCTTTTCCACTCTGAAAATGAATCAGAAACCTACTATTTTCCTCACTCTTAGGCATCAACATTTTAAGAGTATTATGGTCTAGTATCCTTATAAAAGGAAGTAATTCTCAGAGCTGAGAATTTATCATGGACTTCTGTGAAGTTTTAAACATTTCTCAATTTAATTCAAATATTTGGAATAATTCCTTGTAACTTACATGCCAAACCCAATCCACTGCGCATGAGTCGATTCAGACTCATAGCGATCCTCTAGGACAGAGTAGAATTGCTCTCATAGAATTTCTGACGCTGTGATTGTTATGGAAGCAGACTGTTACATCTTTCTCCCACAGAGAGGCTGGTGGGTCCAAACTGCCAATCTTTTGGTTGATACTGAGTATTGCTCAGGCTCCTCCTTTAACTTACAGAAACCAAACCAAACCCATTTCCATCTAATTCATTCCTACTCATAGTGACTCTATGGGGTTTCCAAGGCTGTAAGTCTTTACAGAAGCAGACTGCCTCATCTTTCTTCTGTGGAGTGACTGGCGGGTTTAAACCACTGACCTCCTGGGTTAGCAGCCAAATGTCTTAACTACTACACCAAAAAAAAACAAAAAACAAAATTTACTGCACCAAGTCGATTCCGACTCATAGTGACCCTTTTTGGGTTTCTGAGGTGGTAAATCTTTATAGAAGTAGATTGCTCTGTCTTTCTTACATGGAGTGGCTGGTGAGTTTGAACTGCCAACCTTCTGGTTAGCAGTCAAATGCCTTAGGCACTACACCACCAGAGCACCTTACTATACCACATAGACATTTAAAATTATTTTCTTCTGTTTCATCTCTTTTATTGTTCTTAATTGTAAGAGATATCATCATTACAGAAGAGTACATGAAATACATATATTGTCAATTTAAGAAATAATTAGAAAATGAACACCTGTGTATCCATTACCAGATCAAGAAGCAGAATGTTATTAGCTATCAGAATCCCCCTTGTGTCCTTTCCTAGTCATAGAAGAGTTTTTTTTTCCAATTTAATTTGTTTCAGATCTTCTGAACTTTAGCCTAAAGATCAGAGAATATATTGAAATATACAGACCTGAATGAAACTATTTCTAAAATTAATTATACATTTGATGTATTCTTACTAAAATAGCTTTTGCTTTATTTTCAGCTGAATGAAGAAACCCAGGAATATATATTAAACCTTTTCCAACGTTATGTTGACGATGGTTTAAATTTTATTAATAAAAAGTGCAGCCAAGCAATTCCACAAGTGAACATCAGCAAAGTTACTACACTCTGTTGCTTATTGGAGTCTTTGATACTTGGAAAAGATGGTCTTAACTTAACAATGGTATGAGGGGTTTTCTTACTGCTATGAGGCTAGGAAAATGAGATTATTGTATAGATGCTTTGCAGATAACTCCTAATTTCCTGTAATATGGTCTTTTTTTTTTTTTCCTCTAATTTTTCAGGTCACTAATGACTGTGATTGGGTACATAAAAACTTGAAGTTAGAAGGAATGTTAGGCACCCTCTAGCCTACTCCTCTACTCAGCATTTGAATTTTCTCAGTCTTTGTCTTGTTCCTATCGTGCCCAGCTAGCAGCTGCTTAAAAAGCTCCATTCAAGCATCAAACAGTTTTAATAGTCCATCAAAGAATAACCTTGGCATTTTTTCGTACATACTCTTTGTCATTCATTTCTCATCAAGGTGTTCAAATATGTATCACTAAAAGAAAACATTGTTTTGTGAACCATCCCATGAAAGATAAAAAATTCACACTGTGCCGTTTTATGAATATCTGAATCTAAAAGAAGGAAAAAGTATTTGGACTTTGCAATTTAAGATTCTTGTTATGTTTACATAAAAATGTTAAAACTGTGTATCTTTGTTCTTTCAGGAACAAACAAAACTGAACACTGTCATATGTCAAACTTTTGTATTCTGTTATTTATGGTCTCTGGGTGGAAATTTAACTGAAAATTACTGGGATTCTTTTGATACATTTATTAGGACACAATTTGATGACAATCCTGATGCCAGGGTAAGAGCTAACTAAACTTGATTTTGACATAATAATTCTGAATAATTAAAATTAAATTTTGAGGCCAAAACTTTAAGAGCCTTAGTTTTACTGCAAATGTATATTCTTGGCTAAAAAGGTGTCTAAATTATTCACTTTTTTTTTCATTCTTAGAACATTTATTGTATTTTTTTAAAAAAATTAGGAGTCTTCTCCCAGCTATAAGAAGAGAGTAAGACATAAAAGTGTATAAAAATTTGCCATGATATTCTATAGACTACTGAATTCCAGTTAGTAGATTTATTTTTTATGGTGTGATGAATTAGCAAGTCTAAAACTATCAGCTGTACATTCTAAGACTGAGTAAATGAATAAATATTTTGAGGACAATAGCAATACTTCTCACTGTTAGAGAAGAAATTTATAAATACGAAAGGAGAAAGATTAGAATGTACTTTGTGTTGCGGATCGGAACTAGAGATCTCAGTATGAACTCATAGATTATTTTTAAGTACTCATACATTAAAAAATAAATAAATAAAACCAAACCATTGCCTATGAGTCTTTTCCAACTCCTAGCAATCCTACAGGGCAGAGTAGAACTGTCCCATAGGGTTCCCAAGGCTGTAAATCTTTACAGAAACAGATTGCCATGTCTTTCTCCCACAAATTGGCTGGTGGGTTTGAACCATCAGCATTTTGGTTAGTAGCTGAGCACTTAACCACTGCATCACCAGGGCTCATCTGTACACTTATAAATATATGAAAATGGAGATAGAAAAATATACATAGATATATAAATTTCCCTTCACTGTGTACTGAAAGGAACTAGGAGCAATGACATCCCCATAGCAGTGAGCATACTTAATTTCTAAATATTTTTCTCCACTAGAAGGAGTTCTGGTGGTGCTGTGGTTAAGGTACTTGGCTGTTAACCAAAAGGTTGATGATTTGAACCCACCTCCAAGGAAGAAAGATGAGGTAGTTCGCTTCTGTAAAAGTTTGCAGCCTTGGAATCCCTATGGGGTCACTATGAGTCAGAATCAACTTGATGTCAGTGAGTTATTCTCCAATAAAGGGAACCAGGGATCCCAAATGAAATAGCTGATGCCAGGATGGAGTAGAGAAAATGCAAAATGAAACTAGAGCCTCTTATGCCAGATAGTAAAGAAGTACTTAAAGAATGATGGACATAAGTCAAAAGAACACAGCTTGAAGGGACAGAAGTCCACTGCCCAAACCTGGGAAGATTTGAGCATCAAAATAAATAATGATAGCAATGGATTATAACTTTCTGGATAAAATAAAAATGTGTGAACCCATGATGATAATGAAAATATTCATATGTACATATGTATATAAATTGAGGAGAAGAAAAAGCTCTTCTTTACAATAGAATAACAATCTAAGTAGAAGGAATGATAGAGTTACAAAGTCACTATTTTGCAGCTTTTATAATAATAGGTAAGGAGTTCTGGTGGTTCAGTGATTAAGGCATTCAGTTGATAACCGAAAAGTAGGAAGTTTGAACCCACTAGCCATTCTGTGGGAGAAAGATGAGGCAGTCTGCTTCTGTAAATATTTATAACCGTGGAAACCCTATAGGACAGTTTTACTCTGTCCTCACTCCTTGGAAGACTGGGCAATCTACTTCTTCAGAGATTTGTTGTTGTTATTTGCTATCAAGTCAGACCCGACTCATAGCGACCCCTCCTTGGGTTTCCGAGGCCATATCACTACGGATGTAGATTGCCCACCTCGTAAACCCAAGAAGAGATCGCTAAGAGTTGGAATCAACTTGACAGCAGTGAGGTTTGTGTGTGTGTGTGTGTGTGTGGTTTATAGCTCTGGTGGCATAGTGGATAAGGCATTGGCTGCTAACCAGAAGGTCAGCAGTTCAAACTCTCCAGCTGCTCCATGGAAGGAAGATAGAACAATCTACTTCTATAAAGATTTACAGCATCAGAAACCCAATGGGGGTCACTATGAGTGGGAATCAACTTGATGGCAGTGGGTTTGGTATAATAATAGTTGATTGAAATGGCAGGAATCATCAATAGATGCTAAAACTAGTGGGTGAAAGTTTCATGAAACAGAATATTTACATAGTTTCAAAGTACCTCTGCATAAATTACTGGTTATTTGCAAAGACAAAAATCTTATCTTTACAGTAGAGAACTTTTAAACACCACCACCTTACCTAGTGATCAGTTTAACATCAGCAATATTGGGACAAGGCTGTGCCTGTTAATATGGTACACGGAAAGGTAAATAACTGTTTCTTTTGTATTCTTTTCAACAATGCCTAACCTGAATCTAATCATGAGGATACACCTGGACACCCCAAATTGAAGAGCATTCTATAAAATAAACTTGCCTGTATTCTTTGAAGCTGTCACTGTCATGAGAGACAAAGAAAGCTGAGAGATTTTCAGATTAAAAGAGACTAAAGTGATACAGGGAGCTCTGGTAGCATAGTGCCTAAGGCACTTGACTGCTAACCAGAGGCTAGCCTTTCAAACCCACCAGCCACTCCTTGGAAGGAAGGTTGGGCAATCTGCTTCCGCAGTGATACTGCCCCAGAAACCCAAGGAGGGGTCGCTATGAGTTGGATCTGACTCCACAGCAGTGAGTTTGGTTGAGTAGATAGGAAACCCTGCTGAATCCTCAAAATGTTTGCTTCATAACTGGGCAGGATGGACTATATTGGAGGACAACTGGGAATTTGAAACAAATAGACAAACAGACCCCACTGGGCCACAGGAAGTGATCTGGTGTCATCACAGAGCAGCAGGAGCTATCCCAGCATTCAATTCAACAAATTGAAATTCTATTACATGGTGACACAATTCTGTGTACTAAGACTCGGAAGGAAGATTGGACAATCTACTTCTGTAGTGATACCACCTCGGAAACCCAAGGAGGGGTCGCTATGAGTCAGGGCTGACTCGACGGCACATAAAAACAACAAGACTAAAGAAATTTCCTAAAATCCTTAGCCTCATAGATCTCACACTGGAGTGGAAGGAATCAGGAATAGACAAAAATACATACATCAAATGGTGATGAGTGGTATGCAGAAAAAAGAAAACAAAGTAAGGGTGATAGGGAGCACCAGGGTGGAAGTGGGGAACAATTTTATATATGGTAGTCAGGGAAGCTTTGCTAATAAGGTAATGTTTGTACAGAGTCCTGAAGAAAGCTAAAGAGCTAGAGGTTATTGAAAGATAAACTATTCCAGTCAGAAGGAGATGCAAGTAAAAAGGCCATGACTTGTTAAAGTGCTTGGCAATCTTGAGAAACAGCAGGGAGGCTCATGAGGTCAGAGTGGAATGACCAAGAGAGAGTGTGGTAAGAGATGAGGTAGAAAATGTAGCCGGAGGCAATCTACTTCTGTAGTGATATTACCTAGGAAACCCAAGGAGGGGTCACTATGAGTCAGATCCAACTTGATGGCAGTGAGTTTAGTTTTTGGTGTTGGTTTATAGCCCATTTGTAAGAATATTGGCTTTCCCTTGAGTCCAGTGAGGTGCCATTTATGGATTTGGCCAGAAGCTTTTAGCAGGACAGTGGAAGCTGCTGGCCCGGCAGTGGTCATAACATCTGGGTAGTCCAGATGAGGGGCTGGGTTCCTCCTCCTGTCTGCAAATCCCAGTGAGTGGATTACTGGATTTGTGTTCTTTGTGTGTGTTAGTGGCCTTACAGCCACCCAGTGCTAGCCAAAATCCAGGGAGTATTATAGATTCTACCTTTTCTAGTCATTTTCCCATAGCCAGTAAAACACTAAGTTCAGTGAATATTATCCCCTAAGTATTTTTTCAAATATGTCCTCTTCTCTTCATTCTCATTACTTCTGGAATACTGAGATTCTTATCATTTATTTTCTGGGTTATTAAGATAGCCTATTTATTGTTCCCTTGCCTTTGGTCCTGTTCCTGTCTGACTCACCATATCTGTCAATTACAGTGGTTTGAATAATGTCCACAAAAAATTATTGTCCATTTGGAATCCCAGAATGTGGCCTTATTTGTACACAAATGTATAGACCAACTGTGTAGACATTATTAATGAATATAAGGTCATACTATATTAGGGCACACCCTAAATCCAATGACTGATGATTTTATAAAAAGAGGACATGCAAAGTTACGTAGACACACAGGAAAGAAAGCCACGTAAAGAAGACAGAGACAGAGAGTGCAGTGATGCAGCAGTAAGCCAAAGAACACCAAGAAGGATTGCTGGGAGCCACCAGAAGCTAGAAAGAGGCAAGGAAACTCTGGAGTCTTCAGAAGGGAGCATGGCCCAAAAGCCACCTTAGATTTTAGACTTCCAGCCTCCAGAACTGTGAAATAATAAATTTCTATTGCTTTAAGCCACCTAGTTTGTGGTGCTTTGTTACAACAACTCTGTTGCTGTTAGGTGCTGTCAAGTCATCTCCGAATCATAGGGACTTGCCCGACAGAATGAAACACTGCCTGGTCCTGTGCCAGCCTCACAATCCTTGCTATACCTGAGCCCATCATCACAAGCTCTGTGTCAATCCATCTCATTGAGGGCCTTCCCCTTTTTCGTTGACCCTCCGCTTTACCAAGCATGATATCCTTCTTCAGAGAATGGTCCCTTCTGACAACATGACCAAAGTAGGTGAGATGAAGTCTGGCCATTCTTGCTTCCAAGGAGCATTCCAGCTGCACTTCTTCCAGGATAGATTTGTTGGTCCTCTTAGCAATCCATGGTGTTTTCAGTTTTCTTTGAAAACACTACAATTCAAAAGCATCAACTTTTCTTTGGTCTTCCTTATTCATAGTCCAGCTCTCACATGCATATGAGGTAATTGAAAATACTATGGCTTGGATCTTCAGGGAAACATCTTTGCTCTTCAGCACTTGAAAGAGGTCTTTTGCAGCACATTTGTCCAGTGTAATACATTTTCTGATGTCTTGACTGCTGCTTCCATTGATGTTGACTATAGAACCAAGTAATATGAAGTCTTTAACAACTTCAATCTTTTCTCCATTTATTGTGATCCTGCTTATAGATCCAGTTGTGAAGATTTTTGTTTTCTTTATATTGCATTGTAATCCATACTGCAGACTGTAGTTTTCAATCTTCATCAGTAAGTGCTTCAAGTCGTCCTCACTTTCAGCAAGCTAAGTTGTGTTGTCTGCATATTGTAGGTTGTTAATGAGTGTTCCTCCAATCCTGATGCCATGTTTTTCTTCATATAGTCCAGCTTCTCAGATTATTTTCTCAGTATACAGATTGAATAAGTATGGTGAAAGGATACAACCCTGATGCACTCCCTTCCTGATTTTAAACCATACAGTATCCTCTTGTTCTGTTCAAATGACAGCCTCTTGATCTGTGTACAGGTTCCTCATGAGTACAATTAAGTGTTCTGGAATTCCCATTCTTTTCAATGTTATCCATAATTTGTTATAATCCACACAACCAAATGCTTTTTCATAGTCGATAAAACACAAGGAAACATCTTTCTGCTATTCTTTGCTTTCAGCCAAGATCCATCTCACATCAGCTATGATAAACCTCATTCCACATCCTCTTCTGAGTCCAGCTTGCATTTCTGGAAGTTCTGTCAATACATTGCTGCAACCGTTTTTGAATTATCTTCAGTAAGATTTTACTTGCATGTTATTAATGATATTGTTCAATAATTTCCACATGCTGTGGGATCACCTTTCTTTGGAATGGGTACAAATATGGATGTTTTCCAGTCAGTTGGCCAAGTAGCTGTCTTCAAATCTCTTGGCATAGCCAAATGAGTGCCTCCAGCGTGGCATCTGTTTGTTAAAACATCTCAATGGGTATTCCATAATTTCCTGGAGCCTTGTTTCTTGCCAATTCCTTCAGTGCAGCTTCAACTTCTTCCTTCAGTACCATTGGTTCTTGATCATATGCCACTTCCTGAAATGGATGAATATCTACCAATTCTTTTTGGTATAGTGACTCTGTATTCCTTCTATCTTCTTTTGATGTTTCCTGCATCATTCAATATATTTTCCATAGAATCTTTCAATATTGCAACTTGAGGCTTAAATTTTTTCCTCAGTTCTTTTAGCTTGAGAAATGCTGAGTATGTTCTTCCCTTTTTGTTTTCTAACTCCAGGTCTTTGCACATTTCATTATGATAATTGGCTTTGTCTTCTTGAGCTGCTTTTTGAAATCTTCTGTTCAGCTCTTTTATCTTGTCATTTCTTCCAATTGCTTTAGCTACTCTCTTTTCAAGGGCAAGTTTCAGAATCTCTTCTGAGATCCATTTTGGTCTTTTCTTCCTTTCCTATCTTTTTGATGACCCTTTGCTTTCTTCATGGATGGTGTTCTTGATGTCATCCCACAATTCCGCTGGTTTTCTGTCACTGGTGTTCAGTGCATCAAATCTATTCTTTAAATGGTCTCTAAATTCAGAAGGGATATAATCAAGGTCATTTTTTGGCTCTTGTGGACTTGTTTTAGTTGTCCTCAGTTTCAGCTTGAACTTGCGTATGTGCAGTTGATAGTCTGTTCCACAGTCAGCTCCTGGCTTTGTTTTGGCCGAAGATACTGAGTTTCTCCATTTCCTCTTGCTACAGTTGTAGGCAACCTGATTCCTGTGTACTCTGTCTGGTGAAATCCACCTGTATAGCTGCCGTTTGTGTTGTTGATAAAAGGTATTTACAATGATTAAGTCGTTAATCTTGCAAAATTGTATCATGTGATCTTCAGCATTATTTCTATCACCAAGGCCATATTTTCCAACTACCCAAGCTGCTTCTTTGTTGCCAACTTTTGCATTCCAATCACCAGTGATAATCAACACAGCTGAATTGCATGTTTGTTCAATTTCAGACTGCAGAAGGTGGTAAAAATCTTTAATTTCCTCATCTTTGGATTTGGTAGTTGGTGTGTTAATTTGAATAATAGTAATATTAACTGGTCTCCCTTGTAGGTGTATGGATATTATCCTATCACTGACAGCATTGTACTTCATTATAGATCCTGATACATTCTTTGTCATGATGAATGCCATGCCATTCCTCTTCAATTTGTCATTCCCAGCATAGTAGATCATATAATCAGCTGATTCAAAATGGCCAAAACTAGTCCATTTCAGCTCATTAATGCCTAGGATATCGATCTTTATGTGTTCCATTTCATTTTTTGACAACTTCCAATTTTCCTAGAATCATACTTCATACGTTCCATGTTCTGATTATTAATGGATATTTACAGCTGTTTCTTCTCATCTTGAGATGCGCCACATCAGCAAATGGAGGTCCCGAAAGCTTTACTCTATCCACATCATTAAAGTTTGCTCTGCTCTGAGGAGGAAGCTCTTCCCTAGTCGTAATTGAGTTCCTTCTGACTTGAGGGGCTCATCTTCTGGCACTGTATCAGACACTGTTTCAGGCTATTCATATAGTTGTTCAGTAATATATAAGACAGTGTTTTGCTGTTATTCATAAGGTTTTCACTGGCCAGTTTTTGAGAAGTAGATGGCATCTTCCTTCTTCCAAGTCTGCCTTAGTCTGGAAGTTCTGCTGAAACCTGTCCACCATGGGTAACCCTGCTGGCATTTGAAACACTGGTGGCACAGCCTCCAAATTCATAGCAACTCACAAGCCACCTCAGGACAACAAACTGACAGACAACTTTGTTTCCCTCAGTTGTTCCAAGCCACTCCGAATACTTCCTGGTTTCCTTCAGCCACTCCAAACCACCACTCTCCCTTAGCTGCTCCAAACCCACTGGTTCACTTTCCTCTCAGCCTCCCCCAGCTGCTTCAACACCCGCTTGCCCAGCCTACCCTGGGCACTTCAAACACCCACCTGCCCTCCACACCTGGCCCACTTGCCCAGCCTGCCCCAGGTGCTTCAAACATCCACCTGCCCTGCACACCCAGCCTGCTTGCCTGGCCTGCCCTGGGCACTCCAAACACCTGCCTGACCTCTAGGAAACTAATATACCTTCTATTCCTACTTTACTGAAAATTTGTTTCACAAATGAATATTATATTTTATCTAGTACTTTTTCTGTGTTATTGAGATGATCATTTTTTTCTTTTTTAGTTTGTCATTTAATATATTTTTTCTTGAGTAGAAGACATACAAGATATGAAGCTGATAAAAATTGATACTCCATTTGATGTTAGCCAAAAGTCCAAGAAGTGATTATTCTTAATAGCCAGTGGAAACAATCCAAATGTCCATCAATAATAAATAAACTGTTCCATATTGATACAATGAAGTACTATATAGCAATTAATTACATTACTGTTAAATATAACAACATGAATGAATCTCACAGACATAATGTTGAATGAGAGAAGTCAGATACAAAAGAGTACATGACATATGATTCCATTAATAGAAAGGTCAAGGACAGGCAAACTAATGTAGTCATTACCTTGAAGGAGGGGTGGTATAGGCTTGTGTTGACAAAGGACGGGAACAAGGGGGTCTTCTGAGGTAAAGGACATGCTCTCTATCTTGGCCCAGGGGTGGTTATATGGATATTTATATATGTAAAAATTCTTTAAACTGGACTTCTAAAATCTGACAAAAGATAGTATGTTATACCTCCATAGAAGTTTTTAATAGAATAGAATAGAAAGTAGAGTGAATTACACATAGTAAAGGTAAATATTACAGTTTTTTAGAAATGAATCTATATGTATATACTGGATCACTATGTACAATAAACTTCTTACTAAAGGTCATCATCACATGAGCTTTAAATCTTAGTGCTCTGTACATGTGCCAGAAAAAAAACTTCTGAAATATAATCCAATAATATCCCCCACCTGCTCAGAATCTTTCATTGTAAGCACTTTACCTTAAAAACCAAGGCTTGTCATAACCTGGCCCCATCTCTGTTCCCGAGTTCACCTCTCACTGTTTGCAGTGCTGTGGTAGTTCCCAGTATGCACTGTGTTCTCTGTGGTCTCATTCTTCCTATCTTGTTTTCTTAGTCTGAACCCTCACCCTTCTTTCCCCATCCTTATCCCACCCCTTCTTTGCTCATCTAATTCCTGAATGTTCTTTAAGTCTGAGCTGTAATATCACTGCCCCTTAGAAGCCTTCTCTTGCCACCACCATAACTTCCCTGTAAGTAGAAATTAGCCATCCCTCCTTTGTGAATGTACTAAACTCCATTAGACCATTTATTTCCTCATGGGTGTTGACTGACATGCTTGTCTCCCTCATGGAATACAAGGTCCTGGAAGACAAAGATTGGGTCTTGTTCAGCACTGTGCCCCCAGCACCAAACACAGTGATTGGCATGAAGTAATCCCCTAAATGTTGAACTGAATTAAAAATGCTTTATAATTTTAATCTGGGGTTTTAATATAATCAATTATATTGCAATAATCAATTATAGCATAATGGTTAAGTGCTCAGCTGCTAACTGAAAGGTCAGTGATTCACACTCACCAGCCACTGCAGGAGAAAGATATGACAGTCTGCTTCCATAAAGATTAAAGCCTATGGAGTAGTTCTATTCTGTCTTAAATATTCACTATGAGTCAGAATTGACTTGATGGCACACAACAAAAACAATATAATCAATGTCAGATTTTCCTATGCATTGTGTTTAAAGAATTAGTGCCAGCTATCTAAACAGGTCCTTCTCTAGAAAGAAAAAAGAAATCTGAATCCATTCATGTTCTTTGACTTCTTTTGTTTCTGAGTCACTATTTCAGTTCCCATTAGTCTGTCCTATTGAAGGTGCTATTTAATTTCATACTTTAGCTTCCCAGTTCTGGTGATCTGTGGAGCATTCACATGGACTTTGAAATCAAACGGCTGGATCCCTGGGAACGAATCATACCATCCTTCAAGTACAGCCGAGATGTTCCATTTTTTGAAATGCTTGTCCCCACAACTGATACAGTGCGCTTTGGGTATCTAATGGAAAAACTACTAGCGGTCAAGCATTCAGTGCTGTTTACTGGAATAACTGGAGTCGGCAAGGTAGGAAAGCTGTATCAAACAATAGTGTACAGAATTGAGAGCATGTTGGACTTAGACTTGTAAGCATCAGAAATCATACATTATTCATCAGGGAAATTCTTTTGAATTTTGGTAATTTTTTCAGGAAGGAGGTAACTATGCTGAATCTATATGGACCCTAGGAATTGTTCCAAAGTTTGCCAGTTTCTGAATAAATTCTTAGGGTCAATATTATATAAACCACAGGGTCCTCTGGATCATCATTTGTGTTTTGATGCTTTGTCACTGTACCCCTTGGAATTTATGGGCTCCCAACTGCACTGGTTAGGGTCGGAATTGGCCAGAGCAACTTATGTCCCAGTAGACTATTGATGAAGGTCAGTCTTCCCCTTGTGCCTATTTACCTGACACAACAACAGTGTTATTTGACTGTTGTGGAGAAAAGTCAAGCATAGGAAGAAATGCTGACTGTTGAGCCTGTTGGTTTTGGGGGATTCCACATAAACAGGCATTCACTGTGTCCAGTCTCCCTTATTTCTAAAAGAAATCGAGCATTGATTTGGGCCTTTCTGTAACTCTTGCTATCATGTTGGCTTATATAGTCAGAAGGGATGGTAAGAAAATAGAAGAAACTTTTGGCTGAGATAGAGTCAACTGGAATATTCCTTTGACTCTCATAAACATAACTAAATGGAATGTCCAGCAAGAGAACAACAGACATTCCAATACAGCTTTAACCTCTCACCTTTTACCATTTCTTACTCATCATATTGGATTATTACTAACATAGACAATTGAAAAATGTTATATTGAATTTGAAATCAATTAACAATTTTTTTAAACTTTGAAGTCTGTTATTGCAAAAGGATTGCTAAATAAAATTCAAGAATCATCTGGCTATGTTCCTGTTTATCTAAATTTTTCTGCTCAAACTTCATCTGCAAGGACACAAGAGATCATTGAGTCAAAACTGGAACGGAAAAGAAAAAATATTCTAGGTAAGAATTAGCATTTTAGTTTGTCCCACACAAATTACTCATTCAGCTAATAAATCACTAAAACAGTGCACATGATAAAAATACAATTGGATAAAGTATTTTCTTTGTTTTATTGTTAAAGATAATTCTATTAATGATATTCTTTCTCTGATATATTGAGATGAGAGGAAGTGAAAGAAAGGGCAAATGTCTCCTCTGTAACTGGTGCTTAGATGGTCCTCTCTATGAACTGATCCTACTTCTTTGGCTGGCACTGAATGACCGTCCATGCTGTCTGTGTGGCAGGCTTCCAGAAGTGGGCTCTCCTAAGGGACTCCCAAAGAGTCTCCACAGGCCAGGCACTGGCCTCCCCACTGGAAGGCTCCCTGATGTTGAGAATCAGGCAGGCTCTCAGTTGCCACTCAGTCCTACCCTCCAGCAACGCACCCCATACCCTTTTGCTGGTGCCATCCACTTGCCCAGTCTCTGCCTTCCTGGGGTGGGGTGGGGGGGAGGTACTGTCCAGAAGCTCAAGCTCCACTGCCTTCCGCTTTGTTCATCATCCAGTTGCCCTTGCTACCCCAATCAGTGGGAATACCAGATACTTCCCTACACCACTCTTTCCTTTTCTCTTTTTCTTTCTCAGATAGGCACAAGGCAACAGATGCCGGCCTATCTTGCTGGTGGGGGCCCACATCTTTATAAGTGATTCTCATGGAGCATTTCCCTACCTCCCTGCCCCACCACTTGGCTTCCAGAGACCAGAGGTTGGGGTGGAGCACTGAGTTTGCCTCAGTTACTTTGGAAGTGCCTTCTGTAATTAATCCCAAGCACAGAGATGTAGCTATTTGCTCATAGGTGGAGTCACCTACTCTGTTTAAGTCATTCTCTTGTCCTTGCCATCACTCATTCTTTTTTTTTTTTTTTTTCCTGATGAGTGTATATATTGACTTTCTGAAAGTTAATGTGACATTGTGCAGCTTCACTATACTGAATTTCCCTTTGATGTGACCAGGATGCTTTTAATGTCCTGTCCTATTTTCTCTGTGACGGTGGTAAATGGCATTTGTGTGAGGAAAGTTTCACTATTCTGCTTCCTAATGTGAAAAGAAAATACCTTCCTTCTTCACCCTATGCCAAGGCCATGCATTGGGCAAGGGCAGCAGTTGTGGCTGACAGTGAGAAAAGTTGAGGTCTGATTAGAGACCATATGCTTCTGAGAGTGAGGAGGGGGGTACCTGACAACATGATCACTCTGGCCAGCTTCACATCTCCCTCCAAGGGTCCAGATGGGGCCAGAGGGAGGGCTCTCCTCCTCAGGAAGAGACTCTGCCGGAGCCTTCCTCGCTCAAGGAAGAACGAGCTCATTATGACCTACAAGGTGTCCACTTAGTCCAAATTCATTCCTAAGCTTTGTCTAACATTTTCCAAGGGTGACTCATAATTCTTTAGTTCATTTTCTCCACCCCACCCCCCGCCAGGAGCACCAGGAAACAAACGAGTTGTGATTTTTGTTGATGATTTAAATATGCCCAGACTGGATCGCTATGGCTCTCAGCCTCCCATTGAATTGCTTCGACAGTACCAAGATTTTGGTGGATTTTATGACAGAAACAAACTCTTTTGGAAAGAAATACAGGTTACTTTTGGTTTAAAATTATTTTTTGTGTTTAAATTTAAATGTCCTTAAATTTAATTCACATAATTCAGTTCATTGTATTGAGTCCCTGCCATGCTGGATTTACAAATTCATGGACAAGTGAAACAGCCTCCACCTCCCAAGGCTCCGAGTGGACACAGACATGTATTTGTAATGCAAGATTACTTATCAGTGGAGACACAGGAGAGAGATGGAATTTGACTGGGTTGAGCATGAGAAAAACCTCAGAGGAAGTGATTTCAAAACTAGATCTTTAAGGCAGGTCATAACAAGCAAGGAAAAGGAGTGCTTTCCAGCTCAGGAGCAGGGACTGTGAAATACTATGCAATATGGAGTGTGACCCCAAAAGTAGAAGAGAGGATTCCCAGGAGGTTTTCAGAGGGCACACCCTAGAGAGCCACGATGAGGAACATGGATTTATCCTGTGAGTGATGGGGAGCGTCTGGAGGAGATGTAATGGAAAGACCCCACTGGCTGCAGAGTAGGGATGGACTAGAGAGGAGGCATGATCAGAGGCAGCTGCAGGATCTGAGAGGAGAAGTGGGTTGGAGTCCCAGTGTAGTGAAGTGTGTGACTAGAGGGTTGAGGGAGAAAATTGACAGGACTTGTGGGGTGTAGAGACAGAGAGGAGTAGGAACCAAGGTTGACTGTCTTGTTTCTGTTCTGGAGAATGTGAAGCACCGGCCTGGACAGTAAAAGGAATGAATGAGTTTCACTTTGCTCACAATAAAAACAAACATTTCATTGTACCAGGCACGATTCTGAGTGCCTCACACTTACTAACTCAACTCTCCCAACATTCTGTAAGACAGTGCTATTAGACCCATTTTACTGATGAAGAAAGAGAGTACCAGAGTATTAATCATTAAGTAACCAGCCCAAGGTCACATTACTAATAAATGGAAAAACTGGGATTAGAACCCAGACTGTTTAACTCATGAATCTGTGCTTGTCAGCCAAAATTCCTTTCTGTCCCCCATGTTAAGCTCAGGGTCCTCTGGACCTCTAAGTAGAGTTCTATCAAGCTGTTGGCTTCTTAAGTGAGAGCTCTGGGGAAAGAACAAACAGGAAGATAAAAATTTAGAAGGAAAATAAAAACTCAGAATATAGGTTGTAGTTAGAAGCCTGAAGACTTCTAACTTTAGACTTTTGCATATAATAAGCATTTAATGTAACATAACAGACATGATGTCTTTCAATTTAAATTGCAAGAGTGGGTAAAAAGTTCATTCATTTGTTCATTTATTCAACAAATACTTATTGAGCATCTACTATGTGCCAGGAACTATTTTATGTCGTGGAGATTATTATTGTCCAACTCATGGTGACAGAATGAAATGTTGCCCAGTCCCATGAGATCTCCATGATCATTGATATGTTCGAGCCCATTATAGAAGGTATTGTGTTGATCCATCTCATTGAGAGTTTCCCTCAATGATGTTGGCCCTCTACTTTACCAATCATGATGTCCTTTTCTAGTGAGGGATACCAGGGTGAGTGAAACTGTTGAAAATGTCTGCTCTAGTGGAGCTCACAGAAAACTTGGGTGTTGCACATGGCTGAGTGCTCATCTACTAACCTAAAACCTGGCTGTTTAAACCTACCCAGAGGCACCATGGAAGACAGGTCTGGCTTCTGATAGACCTATGAAACAGTTCTACTCTGCACACGTGGGGTCACCATGAGTTGGAATTGACACCACAGCAACTAGCAACAACCACAACAAAGTGGAGCTCACATTCTGGTAAAAGCATAAGCAAGGAAGGGTGAATTTCCATGGGAAATGACAGATGAAATGCAGCAATCACATAAAGGGGAGTGTTTGAGATGAATCATAATTTTTCCTTTAAATAAGATATTGTTGTTGTTGTTGTTATGTGCCGTCGAGTCAGCCCTGACTCATAGCAACCCCTCCTTGGGTTTCTGAGGCAGTATCACTACGGAAGTA